CTGTACTAGGGATGAGATGAGCTAATGCTTGTGAAGCACCATCTCTGGCATACAGCAGGCGTCGCATAAATGATAGCTGCTGTCCATTTATTCACAGGCCCGTGGGGAGGCCCGAGTTTGGGTCTAGGATTTTTTTTTTTTTTTTAATACACCTCCGACGTGGCCTTCCAAGGTTACCAGGCTGGGAATAACCGCCGCCAGCTTCTGTCCCCTGCAGGGAGGGAAACTGCTTCCTCCAGGGCCCCTCGGAGAGGCAGCTGCCGCTAGGGAAACCCGGTTTCAGCACCGCCGGGGTTATTTTCAGAGGTTGGGAAGGCCTCTGTCTCTGATTTTCTCTGGAATCTGGTGTGGGGTGTTGGGGGCCCTCTGGTCTTGAACAGCCAGTGGGAGCTGTCTAGAATATGTCCCCAGAGCCTCGGGCTTGGAAACGAGTGCAAAGGAGCGGGGTGAGGAGGTGCAAGGGCTGAACTGCTCTGGCCTCGCTGCTGCTGGGGGGCTGAGGGGAGTAAGTCTAAGCCCGCTGAAGCTAGACCAGAGACCGTAAACCTGTGGACTGGGCAATGCTGGGATCAAAATAGCTCCTGCTGTGCAGGGAGGGGGCGCCTTCCTATGCAGCTTGGGGAATGTTTCTGCTTGAATGGGCCAGCTGAGGTAAAGCCAAGCTATTGCTCTGTTTCCCAGAATCATTTCAGTTCCCTTCGGTGGGGTTTTAAACAGATGAACTATTCCTTTGTGATGTTTAAAAAATAATAACGAAAAAGTCGCGGCCTCCCTGACTGAGATATCTTATCTCTTCACGGATTTGCTTTTCACAAGAGGCCCAGGTTGTGCCCCTTTTGAAAAGCAAATCAGCGAAGTGCTGACCAAGCCTTTTGGCTCTGAGCACCTGCCTGACTTTGTTAGGGATGTTCAGTGCCTTTTTTTTTTTTTCTTTCTTTCTTTTTTCCGCCAGACTGGCACGCCTTGGCTTTCCAGTCCTTGGGTTGCCTGGAGAAATTAACAGCTTCTGTCACTGTGCTGTCTGGTCTGTAACCACACTGTTTTTGCAGTGAGCGTGTTTTGGTTCTTGCAGAGGGTTGGAAATAAATTGCTGGTTCTATGCTGGGAAAAGACACCTGCTATGACCAGCTATAATGCAGCTTGTATTCTCAGAAAATGTAATCAGGACAGATGATGTCAGCTGCTTTACCACTGGCCAGCCTCTGGCCAGCCTCTTCCTTTGGCCCTTGAGCTTACATCATAGAGCTTCCAGCCCCGTTCTGTGTGGGAAGATGTGAATTTTGCTACTACAGGAATTTTGGAACTCAACTCTGCTCTCCCTGCCATAGGGCCCTCTAGCTTAGCTGAGCCCTTTCAAGTAGAGCTGTCCAGCAGACCCAGCTGACAGCTTTGTTTAAAAGCAGTGCAGCTGAGAGCTTGAGCCAGGATTTTGGCATCGGACGAAGGTTCAGATCTCAGATCCACTTCTTAGCCGGCCTTGTGACTTAGGACAAGTGACTTGGCTTCTCTGAGCCTCAGTTTTCCCTTTAACCTTGGGGCTGTCCTGTGGATTTCATTGAATTACATTGAGCTTCAGGGCCCATATATACTAATTGCTTGGTGAATGATAGTAATTTTAACAATAAATGAGACAGATGGGGAAAAGCACAGGCGTCAGGATTGGCCAACTCAAATTCAAATAAAATGCAGCTTTGATCTGAAGCTCTGTTGGGCAGATTGTTTAATGACTTGGTTTCTTCATAGCATTATTACATGGTTTAGATGTGATGATGCAGTTGAAGCGGAAAGCCCAATGCTTAGCACGTAGGACCTCAATAATTATTTGTTTCCTTCTCTCCTTTCCTTAATTATCATTTAGGATTAATTGTCTTTCACCTTTTTTCTCACTTCCTAGGTTGGTTCAAGATTCTTAGATGGGTTCTCATCCTTGACTTTAGGATTTTGAACACCAACTAGGCTATTTGGATCCCTTCTCCTTGTTTATTGTTTGCTAGCAACAAACAAGGGTGTGGATGTGGTGTGATTACAGAGCAGCAGATGCAGAGCTTGAGGGTGGCTGACTTTGTAAAAAAAAAAAAAAAAAAAATTAGAGCCCTTGCTGGTTTGGCTCAGTGGATAGAGCATCGGCCTTCGGACTGAAGGGTCCTGGGTTCAATTCTGGTCAAGGGCATATGCCTGGGTTGCGGGCTAGATCCTCAATGGGGGGCGTGCAGGAGGCAGCTGTTCAATGATTCTCATCATTGATGTTTCTATCTCTCCTCTCCCTCTCTGAAATCAATCAAAATATTTTAAAAAATAAATAAAAACAAGAAATCATCTTCTAAGGGCTCAAGGCTGACTTTCTTGAATGAAAACTCACAGCAGTGTTTAGGAGGATAGATGTCCCTCTATTTAAATTGTTCTCAGGTACCAACACGCAGTCTTTGGGGCCAGAGGCAGGATGGAAGCTTTCTTTAGATAAAAAGTGACAAGTGCATGTGGGTGTCTATTAGCAAAGATAGTGATGTCTTCTCTCGGATTGCAGTACAATTTTGTTTTCCAAGAGAACATACATAGTTTGATACTAGACAGTAAAGTCTTTCAACTAGAATTGAGGGCAGGACTATGTCTTCTCAACTGCTGTCCCCTATTGTTCCTACCACCTGGTTTCCACCCACACTGCCTTCAGCCAGGGCCTGGCTCGAGGTAGGTGCTTCGTAAATTCTTGCTGAACTCAGGAATCAAGGGGCCATGGGAGCACCACAGGCTCCAAGTCAGAAGGTCAGGCTGGGATTCTTGGGTCCACCTTTTTCTAACCCTGAGCTACTTAGAGCACATCCTGTCACGGAGCCTCTGCTCCTTCTCTCTCTGGTTGATCGCCAGGATTCTTGGGACAGCTAAAGAAACTAAAGCATCATGATTACTTACAGCCTTTGCATCGTTCATTTCACTTGTCTTATCAGACATTTGCTAAATGCCAGGCTCTGTGTTAGGCAACATGGTGAACAAAACAGATGTATTGCCTTTGTGGAGTTTACAATGGAGGGAGACAAAGAGAGGAAGTTAGTAAATGAATAAATAAGGTTGGTAATTTCAGTGGTGATTATCCCAGGGTAAAGAAGGACTAGGAAGGTGGGAGTTACTGAGCTGGGGTTGTCAGGGACGGCTGCTATTTGAGCTGAAGCCTGAATGAGAGAGCCGGCTATAGGAAGAGTCAGAGGAAGAAGATGCAAAAGGAACATGTGCCAAGGTCCTGAGACAGAAAGGAGCTTGCTGTATTTGAGGAGCAGACAGGTCATGTGGGTGGAACTTGAGGGAAGGGAGAGACTGCTATGAGAGGTGAGCAGAGGTCTGGTCATGTAGAGACTTTGACCTTGGTCAGGGGATCGAATGTCATTTCCACTGTTAGGAGCCTCCTTCACTCAGACAGCAGGTATTTGTAAAGCACATGCCCTGCTCCCTGCACCCATGGAGCTGTGTCAGGACAGGCAGGGCAGGTGAGTGTGAAAATGCACATCTATTCTGTCAGATTTGTCCCACTCTGATCTTAACTTCCTGAGAAAGCTTGGCGTCTTAGGGGGGGTTCTAGCACCTTCAGACACAAGAATGGCTGCTTGTCTATCAAGGTCTTCTTTTTAGCCAGCATACTGATTGCATACAATCCTCCCACCAACTCTGAACTCTGGATACTATTTTTTTTTCCAGATGAAAAAACTGAAGCCCAGAGAGGTTGAGTAATTTGCCAAAGTAACCTAGAAAAGCAGTCCCAGGACTCACTCCCAGGAAGCCTTGCTTTGGAATCTGTTTGTCTCCCCATGCCATATTGCCCACCCTTGGCCCTGGCAATACTCCTCAATAAATCCATTTTGCTCCCAGCATTGTGGCATCAAGAATATTGCTGGATCTGTAAATATGCTACTAACGGTGGCCAAGCAGACAGCAAGAGCGTATAAATTGAGTGTGTCCCAGCTCAGAACATTCTATCCTCTCCCAGCGGAACTGTAACTGCTCTTAAGGTAAAGGGGAATGCAGGCCATCACAATAGATATAAGCACTCTCAGCGGCCAGCAGCCAGCAGGGTCTCTTTTTAAAATTGCAAACAGGATCATGTCCCACTTCCCCTTGCTTTGAACTCTTCAGGCAGGTGCTTCACACGGCTCTTGGAATAAATATAAAATTCTTAACGTGCTTTTCTTAACGTTCTCAGCCTGCACAAGGTGGGGAATGGGACGTTGCATTTGCCTGCAGCTTCATCTCCCCTCCTGTCACTGCTACCGCTACAGCCGCACTGTAGGCGTCCTTCTGCTCATAGCCAAGCTCTTTCCTTCCTGCCTCAGGAAAGCAGGGTGTGGTGGTTACAGGCATGGACTTTGGAACCAGATTGCCAGGTCTCTCATCTCAGATCTGTTTCTGAATAGTTTTTTAACTTTCAACAAGTTCCTTAGTGTCTCTAAGGGTCGGTTTTTATATCTGTAGGATGGGGATAACAGTAGTCTCTCTCTCCCAGGGTTGTTGGAGAAGACAGTGTGTTAGTATGGGTAAGTACCTGGCACGCAGTAAGCAATGACAGTGTTAGCTCAGGGCCTTTCTCCCTTCCCGCACCTCTGCTGTGTCCACCTCTTTGCCAGGCACATTCCTCATCTTTTGGGTCTGTCCTTGCCTCAGGAGGATTTTTTAACACCACTCCTCCCTACAAAACCAGCTTATGTGCCCCTAATATTTTTCACTTGTGAGCTCGCTGTGAGCGTGTAGTACGTGTTCAGTAAATGTGCTGAATGAAGGAGCAAAATGGGGCCCAGGGCTGGTGCCCACTGTACCTTGGGCCAGCTCTGTGTTTTGTTTTGCCACAGCAGCCGCAGCTGATGTGTGGACCATTGCAAGGGATGACCTGCTTCTCGTTCTTCCCCTTCCAGAACACTCCACTGGTCCAGGCGGGCAACATGTTAGTGCTTCTAGCCATGTCCCTGCCTCTAACCCAGAGGCCATGGAGGAGATAAGGTAGCCCCTCATCCCTGGATCTGATGGGGAAGCCCAGTTCAATGGATACAAAATATAAGGATGACTTATTTCGGAAGTATGTGCAGTTTCATGAGGGCAAAGTGGACGCCACCCCCAGCAAGCAGCGGCCTGGCAATGATGAGTACCTGCGGGTGGCAGCCTCGACCTTGCTCAGCCTGCACAAGGTGGATCCCTTTTATCGATTCCGGCTGATCCAATTCTATGAGGTGGTGGAGAGCTCCTTGCGCGCGCTGAGCTCCTCCAGCCTGCGGGCTCTGCACTGCGCCTTCAGTGTGCTGGAAACGGTGGGCGTCAACCTCTTTCTCTACCCATGGAAGAAGGAATTCAGAAGCATTAAGGTAAGGTCTAAGGTAGGGCCCTCCACACTGGTCTCCCTTCTGCTTTCTTGTCCCTTCCAGTCCGCCTTGCGAGAGCTTGTGCCAGTCCGATCACATCCCTCCTCTGCTTGCAGACTCTCCCATTTCCCACCGCCTTTGAGATAACAACCAGAATTACCCCCATGGCTTCTCACCTTGCCTGTCTGTCTAACGTAATCTCTTAACTGGGTCCCCACCCCTGGCAGCTCACATCTGCTGCTGGGAGGTTAGAAAGGCAGGCAGCACCCAGGTTGTGTGGAACCTTGAGGCCCAGGGCAGAGGGCCTGGATTTATCCCAAGAGGATTGAAAAGCAAGGTGGTGCCAGGATCAGTTTACATTTGAAGAGAATCCTCTGGCCGGTGTATGGGCAGTAGACTGTATGGGCAAGAGTGGGGCAGGGAGACCAGTTAGGAGGTCTAGAGTAACAGAGGAGTGAGGAGGAGGACTCTGGGAGAGAATTCTGAATCATCTGAAGGTGTGATGGCTCAGAAGGGTTTTCACTAAGTCAGGGTCTTAAGTCTGACACAGAGGGTGGGGCAAGAGTAGGTTTGTGAGGATGTGAAACGAGTTTATTCTGGTATTGGTATTTATTATTATTTTCCACATGAACAATTATTATTATTTGCCCCACCTATATTCTTCAGACCTTTTAGAAATGCCAGCAAGGACTATTTTCATTGCTCATCTGGCCCTGCTTCTGGTCCTCGTTCCTCACTGAGTTTGCCCTGCTCCTCTCAGGGAGCAGTGCTGTGTGCCCTGAGTAGAAAGCTAATTGAAGGCTTTGTCCCTATGCTTAAGATAGGAGTGGTGCGCCATTTCCCTCACACCAGGGCGCTGAGTTGTTGGTAAGCATTAGCCTCTGCCTCCTGTAGTGAGGAGCTGTTGGGATCACTCCCTTCCCTTCCTGTGGTTTCCTGCTTCCAGTGCAGACTTGGATGTGCCACACTTTGAGGCAGTCTCCCTTGTGTGTCAGAGAGAAAGTCCTGCTTCTTTGTCCCCCTTCCTTCTAGACCTACACGGGCCCCTTCGTTTATTATGTCAAGTCCACGTTACTGGAAGATGATATCCGAACGATCCTGAATTACATGGGCTACGTGCCTGAGCTGGGGACTGTGTACAAGCTCACAGAATTGGTGGAGAGCCTGCAGGTGAAGATGGTCTCCTTTGAACTCTTTCTGGCCAAGGTGGAGTGTGAGCAGATGCTGGAAATCCACTCCCAAGTCAAGGACAAAGGCTACTCCGAGCTGGACGTGGTAAACGAGCGCAAGAGCAGCGCGGAGGACGTGCGGGGCTGCTCCAACGCCCTGCGGCGGCGGGCGGAGGCCCGAGAGCACCTCCCCGCCTCCATGGCTCGAGTGGCACTCCAGAAGTCGGCCAGCGAGCGGGGGGCCAAGGACTACTACAAGCCGCGTGTGACCAAACTCTCGAGGTCAGTGGATGCCTACGACAGCTACTGGGAGAGTCAGAGCCGGAAGCCACCCCTGAAGACCTCTCTGAGCTTGCGGAAGGAGCCTGTGGCGGCAGAGGTAGGGGATGACCTCAAGGATGAGATCATCCGCCCGTCCCCCTCGCTCCTGACCATGTCCAGCTCCCCCCATGGCAGCCCTGACGACCTTCCATCCTCCTCCCCCAGCAATGGCCTTGGCCTGCTGCGTGGCACGTACTTCTCTGCTCAGGATGACGTGGATCTCTACACCGACTCAGAACCTAGGGCCGCATACCGGAGGCAGGATGCCCTGCGACCGGATGTGTGGCTGGTCAGAAATGATGCCCACCCTCTCTACCACAAGCACTCCCCCCCCACCAAAGAGACCACCCTATCCAAGTGCCAAAACTGCGGCTTGTCCTGTAGCTCCTCCCTCTGCCAGCGCTGTGGCAGCCTGCTCCCCTGTCCCCCAGCCTCCAAGCCCAGCACCTTCCCCAGCAAGTCCTCCACCCATGACAGCCTGGCCCATGGGTCATCTCTGAGGGAGAAGTATGCGGGCCAGACTCAGGTGCATCTCCATTCAAAATCCAAGTCCTCCACCACAGCCACCTCCCGCTGTGGCTTCTGTAATCGCCCAGGTGCCACCAACACCTGCACCCAATGTTCGAAAGTTTCCTGTGATGCCTGCCTCAACGCCTACCATTATGACCCCTGCTGCAAAAAAAGCGAGCTGCACAAGTTCATGCCCAACAACCAGCTGAACTACAAGTCCACCCAGTTCTCCCATCTCGTGTATAGATAAACTGGGCCTTGCACCTCCCTGCTACAAGGGCTACATCACTGATCTTTCTGGTTTCATGGGGAAGAAGTGTTAATGCATTGATCTGGGAAGCTGAGAACTGCACTTGACCATGTAGGTGCCGGGGATCTGGGTCAGCTGCACCATGTGGAGTTCACTTAGTAACTAACTTATTTCAGCTGATGGCTGCTTTGTCTCCTGACAAGGGAGAGAGTGGCGCTTCCATTCAGATTCATTTTTGCTAATCTCTTCACCCCCCCCCCCCTTTTTTTTTTTTTTTTTTTTTTAAGAAAAAGAGGATTTCTATCTCTGGGATTCTTGCCACATCTACTGTTCCCACCACAAAGCCAACTTGGACTGGGAAGGGCCCTCCAGGTCACTTCCTGGATTGGTGAGCTAGAGGCCTGCTGGCTTGTGAAATGAGCCCTCCTGCCACACTGGGCCTCTTCAATGGCTCATCCCCTTTGCCGCCCCCCCCCCCCAAACACAGTGTTAGCGGAATGTCATCCTGTGGCTGCCACGGCTCAGTTCAGCCCGTGGCACTTGTGAATTTTGCTCCAACACATTGAAGTGTGGACCTTCCACAGCAGGACTCCCCTTTCTGTTGTTTGCACATGCCCCTCTTACTGTACTGTAAATAGGTAATTTTTGAAGTTTATTTTTAAATAAATATTCAACTTGCTGTGCGTTTCAAAGTGGTTAAAACATGTAGCTATTTATAAAATGCCCGGGTTCTTTAGTCTTCCAAGGGAGCATCTCATGCCCTTCTGTGATGTGTCCTCCACTCACTGCAGTGAAGGTAGAGCAGAGTGTGGGGGCAGAGGAGGCGCAGAGACAGTATTCCTGAGTCGGTGGAGAACCACTGTCTTCCCTACAATAAATCTTTATACACCTACCTCCAGTGTGCACTTCGGGGGTCAGTGCGGGCCAGGAGGTCGGTGCACCTGCAGACTGTGAAAACCTAGTGACGAGTCAGGAACCTCACCTGCGGATCTACAGCCTGGTCTTTGCCACTTGCCGAGTGTGAACCTTGCCCTCCAAACTTCTTCAGTCTTGCTTCAGAAGGAAACTCATTTGGGATTTCCATCACCCCTCCATCTCGGTCCTCTTCTCTTCGCCTGTTTCCAGGACTCTGCAACATTTGCGATCTTTTTGCACTAAAAGTGGGCAGGAGCTGGCGTGCACCCATGAATAGGTGTGTCTGGAGATTCTCAGCTGAGCCTAAGCACTTCCAAACCCGAAGGCCCCTTAAACTCTTCACGTGAATGACTGAGCCCTGGATTTTCCTTTTGGGGTGCAGAGCAGGAGTGGGGCAAGAGTTTGAAAATAAAACTGATTCCTTGTGAAATAATAATATATTCTAGCCATAAATGTGATGTACAGAATGTTATAGGAATTTACATTCAGTGGGTTTTCTGGTGGAAGGAGGTATTCGGCTCTTGAACAAATTTAAATCTGGCTGAATCCTGAGGCCACTGTGAATTTGCTGGTGTTCTTCCAACTCAGTTGAGTGATTTTAAGGTTTTTCAAATCTTCTATGGCTTTTTTATATATCTAGTAGATCAGATGTAGATATTCAATGTGTATGTAAAGCTGAATTTCAACTAACTTTATTACTAAGATCACCCCTTTCTAGGGCATTCATCTTTGATGTTCTTCCTTTCCACATTGCAGAAGTGTTAATGCCTGTCCACTCCTGAGAGCTCTAGTTTTCTAGTTTTCCATTTCCAGATCACTCCAGCACTACAGTAACTCTTAACCAGCCATGATGCCACGTAACTTATGCAGTGGACAAAAGCAGGCATGGCTACCTTATTCTCAGAGAGAAAGTCCAGTATCTGTATCATCACGGAAATACCGTGTCCGTGGACTGGAACAGGAACTGCTCTGACCGAGCTCCTCCTTGGTGTGTGTCTTACTGTATGAAGTTGCTGTGAGTGAGAAAGTTAATTATATGCTAATTTAAAAGTGCAGATGTTTGCATTTGATTTCTACCAAGAGTTGAAATGTTGAGAGATATTAAAAAAAATAAAGTGTCTTCCATTATTAAATAAAGTCTTTGTGGTTTTATGTCGCCCTTCCCTGCTGCTTTGAAGTTTGAATACTCAATTCTCTCCCCCCCTCAAGCTATATTTAGTTCTTTAATAACATTTTCTTCTCCATGAAACTGACAAATAATAAGAGCCAGCATTTGAGTGCTTACACTGTGAGCGAGGCACTTTATATGCTGAGACTTTACATGCTAGCGCGTATATAATAGTCTCAACACTCCTATAAGATTACAGATGGGGAAACGGGTGTACAGAGTGCAGCCATGTTGCCCAGGAGAAATTACTGCTGGCGGTGACTGACAGTCATTAAATAATACTTGAAGCTGTAATGAAAAAATTAATTCAGTTTTTAATTCTTTCCATCCATTTAAATGCCTCAAGGAGGAAGTCAGTTCAATGCTAGCTTGTCTTTAACAAAGAGAAAACAGGCGTCGGGCTCAGAGCTTTTGGCAGAATCTTAGCTAGGTTTTCAGTTACCTTCTTTTTAGAATATGCATACTGGTTTTCCATCTACAGCAATGTCAGGAGATCCCTTTAAAAATAAATTTGTGGTTTTTTTTTAAAGCGATAGTTGACTCAAAAGCAAAATATGGCAAAAATCTTAAGGATGGTATATGAGCAGCAGTTGTTTGGGGTGACCTGTGCCCACAATGCTGAATCCACTGCTGGGTTGGCCCCACACGGTGGCTTAGTTGCAGGGGAAGAGACTGAATAAGTTTCTCCATTTCAGGCACTGGCTGAACAAATATCCAGGCCTTGGGCCATATCAAGGCGCAGGTGCTGGGCTTGGTTTTAGCTATATCATAGGAAATGGCGCCCACCATCCTGGCTGCCAGGAGCAGCAGCTTCCTAGAGGTGAACACCCAGCCTGGGAGAGCAAAGGAAGCCAGACACTTGCTTCTGTATCCAAAGTAGAGCAGAGACTTCCAGCAGATTGCTTAATTTGTATATGTAAATGACAAGCATATTTAAACATCATCAGGCCCACCAGATGTACATCTGCTCTGCTGCCAGCTCCGAGCACCCATCTGTGGCACCCACATGCCTGTACTAGTGTCAGAGGGATGAGAGCTGCAGCAAATTGAACCCTGATCTCCATTCACCCCTTCTCCCTTGAAAATGGAAGCCCTGATTTTCAGACATGGCCATCCGGAATAGAAACGGCCTTTTCCAGCCTCTCCTGCAGCCAGGCATGGCCATATAACTGTCTGGTCCTGGGATACAAAAGTGCTTCGTGTGGCTTCTAAGATGTCCTTCCTCCCCTGCTCCTCCCTGGCTGGAGAGGCCGTGCTGGCTGGGATGGAGCAGCCACAGGAAACTCAGGTGGAAGCCAAATGAAGAGGGTGGGATAGCAGCTGGAAGGGTTGGGTCCCAGATGCTATTATCTTTCTTAAACCACATTTTCCCCACTTGCTCTTTTTAAAAACCTTTCAATTTACCAAAGAAATACAATGAATCTCCATGTGCATTGAACTCAGCTTTAGCGGTTCAACAGTTTCCAAGTTGTGGCCAACCTGGTTTCCTCTCTACTTGTCCATCCACATCCCCACCCCTGAATTCCTTTGAAGCAAATTCCAGACATCTATTTCACTTGTGACTATTCCAGTATGTGTACCTAAAAGATAAGGACTTTTAAAATGCAATGCCATTATATCTAAAATTTTATAGCAATTCCTTTATAGTGACGACTACCCAGTCACTGTCCCCATGTCTAGTTGTCTTATAAATCCACGGGAGGTCTGGTGCATGAAATTCGTGCATGGGGCAAGGGGTCCCCTTAGCCCAGCCTGCATCCTTTCCAATCTGGGATCCCTCTCACAATCCAGGACTGCTGGCTCCTAATTCTCACCTGCCTGCCCTCCTGATTGCCCCTTATTGCCCCCTCCCCCCATCCACCTCCAGTCTGATCACCCCAACTGCCTCTGCCTGCTGGACTGATCGCCCTCCCCCCCCACCCCGCCAGCCTGGTTGCCTATAACTGCCCCCTCACCGGTCTGGTCGCCACCTGCTGGCCTGGTTGCCCCTCACTGCCCCACTTGCTGGCCTGGTTGCCCCATGCAGCCTGCTGTTTGGTCATTTGGTCATCCCTCACTAAACCCCCTGCTGGCTTGGTCGCCCCATGCAGCTTGCTTTTCAGTCATTACTGTGAGGGCATCCTGACCAATTTGCATATTATCCTTATTAGTATAGATACTTTAAAAACAATTTGGCCTGCCCGGTGTGGCTTAGTGGTGGAACATCCACTGTGAACAAGATTACCATTTGATTCATAGTTGTCAGGGCATTTGACCAGGTTGTAGGCTCAGTCCCCAGTATGGGACATCCAGGAGGCATCTCATCATTGATGTTTTCTGTCTCTCCCTCCCCCTTCCTCCTAAAATTAATAAAAATGTATCTATATAATAAAAGCCTAAGCGACCATTACGGCGGAATGATAAGAATGACCAGTCACTATGACGCACATTGACCACCAGAGAGCAAATGCTCAATGCAGGAGCTGGCCCTTGGTGGTCAGTTTGCTCCCACAGGGGGAGTGCTGCTCAGCCAGAGGCCAGGCTCACGGCTGGCGAGCGCAGTGGCAGTGGAGGAAGCCTCTCTTGCCTCCAAGGCAGCGCTGAGGAGCAGTGAGCTGAGTGGTAAGGAGCAGTGAGCAGGTGGGCGATAGGAGCAAGGGGTCCTGGACTGTGAGAGGATGTCCGCCTGTCGGCTTAGGCCTGCTCCCTGTGGGGATCAGGCCTAAGCCAGCAGGCAAATATCCCCAAGGGCTCCCAGATTGCAAGAGGGCGCAGGCCAAGCTGAGGGACCCTCCTCTGAGGGCACGAATTTCATGCACCAGGACTCGTTAAAAAAAAAAAAGTTTATCAGGTCCAAATAAGGTCTCTACATTGCAATTGGTGGATAGCTCTTTAAATTTTTTGTTAATTTCAGATTGGAAGGGAGAGGGAGAGAGAA